TTACAAAAATACACTCAAATTTCTAAAAAAAAAAAAAAAAAACTGTAACGTTGTAAATTATTCTAAAAAAACTATAAATCTATAATAATATAAAATCTACTCTAAAGAAAATTATAAATCTACTCTAAAAAACTATAAATCTATTCTAAAAATAATAATAACTATAAAAATAATAATAACTATGAAATCTACTCTAAAAAAAAAAAAATATAAATCTGTAAATTGGTCATTTCGAGTAGTTCTAGTTTTGGTAGTTCTAGCGTTAAAAGGCACGCTGTTTTCACGCCCAGCAGAAAATTACAAATCGGCCGTCTCGGCCACATTGGCAGCTGCCAAAAATCGAAACTGCTATTGCCCCGTGTGACAAACATGCACTAAACGTGGATCGTTTTCAAACGCGGTGGCGCGAGGTCGAAACTACGCCCTAATCGAAAACCCCATTGATCCGAAAAATAACGAGTTATTAAAGCAAAGTGAACGAAACGAGCAACAGCTGATATTCCCAAGCCGAGAGAGAGAGAGAGAGCGCTCGTCCACGCTTCAAAATATTCGATTCACGTGCACTCGGCGTCTCTCGATATCTCTGGTAAACAAGAGACGATAATCGGGAACGCTGCGAATCGTCCCGAAGGAGTTGAGAGATTTTGAAAAGGAACGAACACGAGCGAGAGCGAGCGAACGTTTCTTTTTTTTTTTTTTTCTTCTTTTTCGTTTCTAGTCCGGGAGGATAGTAGAATCGTAGAATCGAACGACGAAAGAGATAACGGCCGATCGTCCTAGTACTTCGGACTAACCTTCCTGGCTGAGGCCACTTCACGCAACCGTGAACTTTAGGAAAAGCGACAGAGATTATCACGAAGCGGCTGATAATCGCCGCTCTCCCGCGCTCCTCTCTCTCTCTCTCTCTCTCTGTCTGCGACAATTGAACCGGCCGGCTAATAAACCACCGCGCGCTCAGCGAGCCACCTACTATCGACGTGGTAAAGTCCACCGAGATGAATTCCCTTCTATCGTGAAGAACGAAAGAATAACAAGTAGCTGATTGGAGGCGGCAGCTCGACGAGGCGCGGGTAAATTAGGTGCTTCTCGAACCGATCTCGAGAGGCAAACAGGTGCCACGAGAGAGACAGAGACCACTAGCATAGGCGAAGATTATAAATTAAATTGGTCAGACGCGATCGATCGAAACCCTCGGTGAAATTTTATTTAATCGAGAATCGTGACAGCGGCGATTGCCTTGTCAATTCGAAAGTCTGCCGAAGCGAGCGAACGATCTCCGCGAAAACAACTTCCTTGTGTTATTAATAAGTTGATAAACGCGTCGCGGTCGAAAATAAAACGAGCGATAGAAACGCGAGCGAATAACAGGAACTTGTTGTTGCTTCTTCGAACTTGAGATCAATCTTTGCAGCTGAAATTGTTTCGGGCAAAGAGGTACCTCAAAGGCGGGACGAATTGTAAGGAACCTCGTGGCGAGCTCGAGGAGTGCGGTCGAGCGCGCCGCGAAATCGCGAACGTTGACTGAAGAACGACTGAAGCAGAGTAAAGTTGGCCCGATATTTCCAGAAATTATCGATCGTCGTCGGAAATTCCTGTTCTAAGAACGCCGCCGGTGTTCCCTTTAACAATTCATTGCGGCGTGAAGCCGGAATCGATCGACCAATCGAGGGGAAGGAACTCTATCAGCCATCCCCATTCACCATGCAGAGGAGGGTAGTTCGCGCATGCCAGAAAAAAAAAGAAAAAAAGAAAAAAAAAGAGAGGAAAAGAAATAAAAAGAAAGAGAAGTAAACGAAAAGAAAAACAGGAGAAACTAACATCCACTCACACGGCGTCCACGGAACTGGACTTGTCCGGCTTGCAGTACTGTTCCAGCTGGGCGTAGCTGCACTGATGGTAGCAACATTCCTCCGCGAGTCCCGGACCCACGGAGTCCATTGGATCGTCCTCGCCGCTGTACGAAAACGGCTCGTTGTATCCGCGTCCCTTGCACGCGAGGTACAGAGCGTCGCTGAGACTTTTCGAGCACAGCCTGAGCAACGACCTCTTGTAAGGGGTGCTGTTCACCGTGTCGAGCAGCGTCAGCAGCATCAGACCGACCAGGACTATCGTCCTGGCTCTGCTACGTCCGAACATGGTCGTTTTCGCGCTGCAGCCGCCTCTCGCCATTTTTCTCGTCTCTCCTCGAGCAGAATTTCCACTGGCAGACGAACGAACGAATGAACGAACGAACGAACGAACGTACACGACACGACACGACACGATTCCTTCTATTTCTTCTCCGCAGCTACCGCGAGAAAAACGTTCACTGGCAAACACGACACGTGAGTTCTCTTTGGGAGAAAGAAGATCGATCGTGTCTGGCCACGGTTCGTTCGCAGGCGAGGCCGCGTAATTCAATTTCAACGAGCACTTTTGCACACCGGATCAGGAACCGGAGATCGATGGAGATCGCTTGGCCAGCGTGGTCGTGATGATAAAAAAAAAAAAAAGAAGAACCGTTTGGAAGGAGAGTAGGAAGGATAGGTTGGCGAAGATCGAGACCGAGTTCCGTTGGTACCGAGTCCCTCGGTGCCACTGGTACCGGCTTGCCTCGCCACGCGGTTCTTGTTCCAGATTTCACGGATTAGAGGAGTGGAACAATAAGGAGAGACGCGGCTCGAGAGAGGGAAGAGATGAACGGAGGAGTAGGTGGCGAAGCATCAAGCGCTACCACTGAGAAGGGGGAGGTCACGCCGGGCTGCTGGTGGTACGCGCGGTGCGCGTCCTCGTGTGTGCTCCGTAGCAGATCGAGAGAAGGGGTCGATGGTGCGAGATCGCTCGATCTCTGTCACGTTTGTTTGCCACGCCGCTCAGGAGGAACCGCGTTTGTCTGACTCGCCGTGGTCTTCTCTAGTTCGCCGCTGTCCCCCGTGAAACGGTTATCCATCAGTGCTCGAAATGTTTGCAACGTCTGTGCGATACGCGCGCGATCAACGATCGGACGAAGGGACGAAGAGAACGCGTGAGTAGACACACACACACACACACACGCGCACACACGAGTAAATTTTTAAACTAACCGTCAGTGTCATGAAACCGCGAAACAATCGAAATTGATCGACGAGTTTTCAGTATGAGTTCTTGTTACGAGCATCATCTCCTTTGCAGGGATGTTAGGCGCGTATCGCGAATTCGGTTTCGTTGCAGCGGGAGGCAAACGGGTGGTTAATCTCGCATTTCGTCCCGAGTAACGATAAATTCGATAAACATACGTCCGTGTATTTTTTCGAGATACACACGTACACGCACGCGCGCGCGCGCGCCTAAAGGGGAGACAGGGGATCGCTCGATCGACCTCCTACCCTCGTTTCTTTCCGACGATCGCACCAATTCCGATTATCGTCCGACCACCGCGAGATTGTTCGACTTGTTTCTATGAATAGAATCCTCGTACTTCGGGGGGGTGCAAACAACCGAACGGAACAGATAACGGCCGAGAGTTTCCACTCGGAAATTTTAGAAGGTGGCGTCCCGTCACGCACAAGCGACTTCTTCTCTGAAAGCTGAACTTTGGGATAATGTTTGTTGGAACGAACGAATCGCATCAAGTGCTTGTTTATTCGTCAACTGTCTCACTTTCATTGCAAAGTAATTAATCAATTTTTTACTACGAATCTTCCCTTCTCTTTGACGGGGGTAAAAATTCTGGTAATCCTGCTTGAAAGAGTCGACATTCTTGGGAATTTCTTTCTTCGGGGGTATTCTGTTAATCCTGCTTGAAAAAGTCGACATTCATGGGGAAACCATGATACATTTAGGTATACAGTTCTCGCACACAGATTTATTCATACTTAAAGAGTACTTGCAATTTTTTTTCTCAACGAAATTAATGAAAGTTGTGGAAATTATATAGCCTTAGGTAAAAGCATGTTTTTAAAAACATTCAGTTCGAGTAGCTGACGTGATTCAGGGCCACCAGGTTATTTGAAACTTAAAAAATGCATTTTAATTAGTATGAATATGGCTATCGCATGAACCACGGAAACAGCGAAATTTCGAAAATTAAAAGAATGGCAGCACTTTGAAGTTAAAATGTCGATTTTTCCTTGTGCTTCTCGTCCTTTGGGTGGTAAAAAAAGAAAAAAAAAAAATAGAAAAAACATCAGATTTTGAAATCCGTGATTCATGCGATAAATGTACATCCGGTGAAGCTCTCCTCCAAATTTCAAGTCAATCGGTCAACTAAAACGTGAGATGTCCTGTCAACCAGTTTAAAAAATATGGATTTGAGAGAAACACATTTGAAGTTTTTGTTACCCGTTGTACAAAAATACTCATACATACGATCAATCGGGCAGTACAAAAAATAAAATATTATAAAATAATAATAACATAAAATAAATATAATAATATTATAAAATAAAATATTTAAATTAAATAATAATATTAATATTATAAAATAAATATATTAATAATATTATAAAATAAAATATTTTTTCAGAAAAACACGTTTCCTTTAGACATCAATAACTTTGCCAATTTCACGAATTCAAACAAATCCTTTTGCATAGGTATTCTCGAAAGCATATACTTTGAGAAAATGTAAA